AGTCGAAGGAGCTGCTCATGTTCCGCGTGCAGACGCTGGCGAAGGCGGCCGACGGCAACGGCGTCGCGCGGTTCCGGAGCCGGCGCGCGCGGCGGCCCAAGGGGTCGACGAAGTGGCAGTCCTACGACGACCGCGTGTTGGCGCTGGGCGCCACGGGCTACGCGCGCGAGTGGACGGCGATCCAGCAGGAGCTGCTCCCGCACCGGCAGACGTCGGACATGCGGAAGCGCTGGAAGAAGATCGAGGCGGCCTGGGCGCCCAAGCTGGCGGAGTTGAAGGCCTCCGGCGCGGACCTCAAGGCCAAGGCCGCCGAGGCGCGCCTCGTGCGGGACCGCGCGGCCAAGGTCGCCGCCGTCGCGGGCCGCGTCGTCGAGACGCCGCAGCTCTGGTACCCGGACGGCATGGAGCGGCCGGACTACGCCTTCGACAACGACTCGGCGTCGCTGTCGACGTCCCTGCGGGGCGGCTCCGCGGCGCCGGGGACGCGCGGGTCCGCGTCCGCGCACTCGGGCGCGGGCGCGCCGCCGCCGGGCGCGCGCCGGCCCATCTCCGAGGGCACGCTCGCCGCGTTCGCGTTCGCCGACGAGTCCCAGCGGCCGGGCGACGAGTTCTCCATGCCCTGCCTGCCGTCGGACCTGACGCAGCAGCCCGCGAGCCCCCGCGGCGGCGGCGGCGACGACGACGACAGCGACGGCGAGGAGGTGCTCGAGGAGGGCGCCGTCGACGCCATGGCCGCGCCGCCGCGGCCGTTGCCGCCGCTCGGGCCGCCGGACGCGAGCCGCGAGGCCATGCCGCCGCCGCCGCCCAAGGCGCCGACGCCGAAGAAGAAGCGCGCCCGGCCGCCGCGGGCCGCCGCGCCCGCGCCCGCGCCCGCGCCCGCGCCCAATCCGCCGGACCCCGCGCCGCCGGACGACGACGACGACCGGCCGCTCGTCGAGGAGGGCGCGGCGGCGTTCCGCCGCGACCCGAACCTCGTCATCGACGCCGAGCCCTTCTCCGCCATGTTCAGCGACTCGCAGTTCAACGACCTCATGTCGCTCGCGGGCGTCGCGTCGAGCAACTCGGGGGGCGAGCCGTCGCCGAAGAAGCCCAAGACGACGCGAAAGAAGGCGAAGAAGCCCAAGGCGAAGAAGGGCGGCTCCTCCTTCTTCAGCGACGTCATGAACGCCGTCGGCCCCGGGGATTCGTAAGCTCGTTACTGATTTCGGGGGGAGGGGGCTATGTGGCGTTCTAGACGAAGTTCTTGGTGGGCGAGTCGAAGCTCGCCATCTCGGTCTCGGGGTAGGTGTCGCGGTAGGTGTCGCGGCGGCTGCTGGCGTAGTGGCCCTGGTCGCCGTCGTCCTCCGCGTCCCAGAGGGAGACCGCGTCGCGGCTGCGCGACGCGTGGCCGCCGCCGCCGTAGCCGCCGCCGCCGCCGCGGCTCTTGCGGCACGTGCAGCAGCCGCCGAGGTAGAGGATGCAGGAGAGGATGATGAGGATGAGGGCGCCGCCGACGCCGTAGAAGATGGGCAGCATGTCCTCGGTGTCGTCGGAGCCGCCGTCGCCGCCGTCGCCGCCGTCGTCGGGGGTCGGCCGCGGCGACACGTCGACGGCGCCCGTCGGCCGGGGCGACGGCGCGGGCGACGGCTTCGGCGTCGCCTCCGGGGCGGCGCCTCGGGGCTCCTCCGTCGGCCGGGGCGACGACGCGGGGGGCTCCGGCGTCGGCCGGGGCGACGGCGCGGGCTCGACCGCGCCGCCCGCGGCGTCGCAGTCGTCGCCGGCGTAGGCCTTGCCCGCGTCCCAGCAGGTCTGGCGGCAGGCCGCCGCGGCGACCCAGACGTCGTCGTCGCCGCACTTGCCGACGAGGCCGATGGACGTCTCGTACGACTCGCAGGTGTAGCCGTTGCGCTCCATCCAGTCCGTGACCGCGTCGTCGCAGCCGTAGAGCACGGGCACGGGCTCCGTGGGCTTGGCCGTCGGCGCGGGCACGGGCTCCGTGGGCTTGGCCGTCGGCGCGGGGGCCTCGGGCGCCGCGCCGCCCGCCGCGTCGGCCGTGGGCTTGGCCGTCGGCGCGTAGAGCGTCGTCGGCGCGTAGGACGGGCCGACCGCCTCGCCCCCCGCCTCGGGAGCCTCGGGAGCCTCGGCCGTCGGCGCGGGCGACGGCGCAGAGGGCGACGCGGCGCCCGCTTCGTAGTAGTAGTAGTAGTAGTAGTCGTAGTAGGGCGCTAAGCGGTCGCGGTACGAGTAGGAGTACGTGCCGTCGTCGAGGGCCTCGTCTTCGTCGCCGCTGAGGAACGGATCTGCCAGAGTCTTCTTCTCAAAGTCCCCGATCGTCGTCTGCTCGCCGGAGTAGTAGAGGATGTCGTCGCCGTCGCCGCCGTAGAGGTCGTTGTACTGGCCGCGGACGTTGACGACGTCGTCGCCCGCGCCCGCGTCGACGTCGCTATCGTCGACGTCGACGAGGTCGATGTAGTCGTCGCACGCGCTGCCCGCGACGGTCAGCGACGCGCTGCCCCGGATGTCGATCTCGTCGCCGGGCAGGCACCCGCCGCCGCCCGGCGGGCCCGCGGAGATCAGCGAGTTCTTCACGTTCCAGATCATGAGCATGTCTTTGCCCTCGCCGCCCCAGACGCGGTTCCGGTCGAGGTTGGTCGACGCGGACGTGCCCAGCTCTACGTAGTCGTTCCCCGGGCCGGCGTCGATGGACAGCGCCTCGCCCTCGCCGACGATGAGGTCGTCGCCCTCGCCGCCCTCGATCTCGACGTAGACGGCTTCGTCGCCGAGCACCTCGCCGCTCCGGAAAACAAAGATCTCGTCGCGGCCCGGGCCGCCGTCGACGGCGCCGTCCTTGCCCTCGCCGAGGATGACGACGTCGTCGCCCTCGCCCGCGTCGACGACCGCGTAGTCGCCCGTGACGAAGAGGCAGTCGTTGAAATCCGAGCCCGTCACGGTCTGAGACGCCGCGTCCCCGTCGTAGCAGACGCACGCGGTCCGGCCCGAGAAGTCGAGGTCTTCGGCGGACGACGCGTCGACGCACTTGACGCCACCGGGCGCGGGGCAGCACGCGTCGCAGGTCGGGTTCCGATGGTCGCAGGTGTCGGGGACGGCGGCGCGCCCGACGGCGACGCAGGCGATGAGGAGCCGGAGGCGCATCTGGGTGGTGTTTTTTCTCTCGTCACACCAGGCGAGCGGGGGGCCGCGACGGGGGGGAGGTCGGCAACACCTGCGGAGAAGCGCGAAGCGAGTTTTTGTGGATCTTTCTTGGCGAGCCCACTCGAGATTAGAGCGACCAGGATCGTGGTCAAGGGCGCGTGAACCGGCTCGTCGCGCGTCGAAAAGATGGCGTGGCGCCTGAAGCACAACCCCCTCTTCCTCCTCGAGGAGCTCAACGACGGCACGGCGCCCCCGAAGTACGACCAGGACTCGTGCTGTCTGCCCTCGCGGCGCCGGCGCCGCGGCAAGGACATCGCGACGTTGCGGAAGAACAGCCTCCGGCGGAACGTCGTGCGGGAGATGACCGCGCGGACGGCGCTCCTGCAGGGCAAGATGCGGCCGTCGCAGATCGCGCGGGGCCCGCGGCGGATCCTCGACGCGTTTCTCGGGTACAACGCCGAGTCGAAGCGGCGGGTCGCCGCGGCCATCGCGCGGACGCAGGCGGCCTACCGCGGCAACCGCGCGCGGCGCCAGCTCCGCGCGGCCGAGACGGCCGCGGGCCGCGCCTTGCGGCGCGCCGCGGGCCGCGCGCTCCGGCGGCTCAAACGCGCGGCGCTGAGCCGATTCGCGCGGCTGCCGCGCCGCGCGCGCGTCCGGCTCCTCGGCGCGGTGGCGCTCTGGGCGCTGGCGTCGGCCTTCGTCTACTTTCCGCGCTGCCTCGTCGTCGCGATCGCCGTCGCCGCGGGCTACGCCTGGTGCCGCCTGCCGCTCGTGCTCGGCGCGCTCGCGTCGTGGGGCATGTCGCTCACGCCGAAGCGCTTCGACTGGTCCATCGCGTGGATCGAGGTCTACGTCGCGCCGCCCTGGAGCGCGCGGCCGAGCCACGTGACGCTCTGCGACTGGACGTGGAAGAACCCGCCGGGCTTCGGCGGCGGCTACGTCCTGAAAGTCGACAAGTTCTCTCTCCACTTCGACGCGGCGTCCGTGCTCCGCGCGCTCAGGGACCGGCGCCGGGAGGCCGTCGCGGTGTCCGAGCTCCACCTCACGGGCGTCCACTTCTGCGCGAAGCGCAACGTGCAGGACGCGCTGAATTTGATGGTCTCGCTGGACCTCCAGGACGAGGACGAGAACATCATCTCGCAGCGCTTCTTCCGGCGGGAGGCGGGCGGCGGCGACGACGACGCGCCCCCGCGGCCCGAGGGCGCGCCGCCGCCGTTCCGCGCGCCGGGCCGCTTCAAGGTCGAGAGCGCGTGGGCGAGCCCCCGGTCGCCGCGGCCGGCCGCCGACGCCGTCGAGCCGGACACGCCCGTGCGCGACCCGCGGCGGCGGCCGCGCTGGGGCGTGCCGCTGAAGCTCGACGTCGCCCACGTCTTCGCGACGGACGTGCGCCTCGACCTCGTGGACTTCATCCAGCGCCAGGACGGCGGCGCGCTGAGCGGGCTCTTCGGCGACTTCAACCTGCCGTTCCTCAACATGAGCGACGCGGAGCGGAAGAACGTCGTCGTGCCCCACATCCACGTGCCCCGGTCGGCCGTCGTCCGCGGCGCGCCGAGCCGGCGCAAGGACGGCGTCTACCTGGGCGAGGTCGTCTGGGCGTTGATCTTCGCGCTGCTCAACAAGGTCGTCTGGCTCGCGCCGCAGACGCTCCTCAAGAACGGCACCATGGCCGCGCTGCTCGCCGTCAAGGACGTCGCGGCGCTCGGCGTCACCAAGGCCGCGGAGCTCACGGTGAACAACCTGGGCCGCACGGGCTCGGGCGCGTCCGCGGCCGTGAACCCGACGGCGAGGAAGCGGCGCACGCGCTACCTGCCGGCGCCGCTGGAGACGCTGCTCGCGCGGCTGCGCGTGCCCGGGGCCCTGGACCTGCGGCGCGGCGAGTGCGTCCTCGAGGTGACGCTCCACCGCGGCCGGCGCATGACGCGGTGCAAGCGCGGGCCGCGCGGCGAGCGCGCGGACCACCTCGCGGTCAACGCGCAGGCCATCGTGCAGCTCTACAAGAGCGACGCCGACGACGACCACCTGCGCATCGTCGAGCAGCAGGCGAGCGGCCTGCGGCTCTGGACGAAGGCGCCGTCCTGGGGCGGCGAGACGTTCCTGCTGGGGCCCGTCGCCGCGGTGGAGACGACGACGGTGCGCGTCGTCTGCATCCACCGCAACCTCGGCGGCATCGCGAAGAAGACGCCGGGCAAGTACGCGACCTTCGGCATGCGCTTCGGCCGCCGCCGCGCGCCGCCCGAGGGCATCGTCGACGACGACCTGGGGGGGTCGCTCGCGAAGAACCGCGGCTCCGAGCCGACGTCGGAGATCGAGCTGTCGCTGTCGCAGCTCTTCCTCCTGGGCAAGGCGGGCCCGCGCAACGCGTCCAAGGGCCTCGTGGGCTGGTTCGCGCTCACGCCGCCGCGCCGCGGGCCGCCGCCGGCGGAGCTCCTCACGGGCGACCTGAAGCTCGGCTTCAAGCTCCGGAACCCGCACCTGTTGGAGAACCTGTCGCCGGGGCAGCGCGAGCGCATACAAAAGTACCCGAAGCGCTACATCGACGTGCTCAACGGGTCGAGCCGCGGCATGTCGCCGCCGCCGCCGAAGCTCCGCAAGTCGCCCAAGGCCGCGCCGCGGACGCCGCCGCGGACGCCGCCGGTCCCGGTGCTGGCGGCGCCGCCGCGGCCGCGCAAGTCGCCCGCGAGTCCGGGGCTCTTCGGGGAGGAGGGCCGCGCGGTCGCGGCGCAGCGGCCGTTTTTATAAGCTAGGAGAGCTCCCGGACTCGAGATGCTTGCGCTAAATCTCGACTTAAATCTCGGCGAGCGGCCAGCATCCACAGCTGAGATTTCAAGCCAGTAGACCGCGCCCGATAGTTCAGCGCCGACGAGACAGACAACACGACCACGAACGACGACAAGACTATGGCCCCCACCTGGCAAGAGAAGCAAGAAGAATACGCGCAAAAGAAGGCCCGGGCGAAGGCCCTGAAACTCCGCCTTACCTGCACCATCTGCGGGGAGAAGGCCAAGCTCAATTGCCCCTGCGGCACGACGCAGTGCGCGCCCGGCGCATGAGAAGATGCGCGGAAGGGAGAGGACGCCCGGCGCTCGGAGACGTCGACGGAGATTCGCGCGAACGGGTCGGGGGCGTCGCGCGATCGCGCCGCGACGCGAACCCGCAGGTACTGTTCGACGGACTGTCAACGCGTCGACTGGCGCGACCGGGGCCACCGGAAGGCGTGCAAGAAGATCCGCGACGAGCGGGCGGCGGAGGCGGCGCGCGCGGAGGCGCCGACGCCCCCGCTGTCGCCCCCGGTCTACGGCCCCGCGCCGCGGTCGGGCGCCGACGAGGTCCGCGCGCGCATCGCCGCCGAACACAAGGCGGCCCGCGCGCGCCGCGAGGCGGAGCCGGAGCCGGAGAAGGTCTGGCTAGGTTCGGCGCGATCGGGACGCGAGTGCCCGATCTGCTTCGTGCCCTGGGACCCGAACATGTCCATGATACTTCGGCCCTGCTGCTGCCGACATATATGCGACTCGTGCGAGAAAAAGTTGACGGCTGATGATCCCTGTCCGCTGTGCCGTTCACCGTGGCCCAAGACTGATGCGGAGCACCTGGCTATGCTGAAGAAAAACGTGGCGAACGAGGTTCCAGAGGCGATCACGGCGCTCGCCGTGTGTTATCGCGACGGGGATTACGGCCTCGTGAAGTCCGCAAAGAAGGCCGCGAAACTCTACAAGCGCGCCGTGGAGCTCGGGGACGTGAAGGCGATGACTTCCCTTGGTGTATATTACAAGAACGGAAATGGCGTAAAGATGGACGAAGCGAAGGCGAAGCAATTGTATCGAATGGCCGCGGATCGCGGCGACTACATCGCGCAGATGAATCTCGGAGGCCTCCTCCTGGCCGAGAAGAACGACGACGAAGCCTACCGCTGGTTCCTCCTGGCGGCACAGCAGGGCTTCACCGCAGCCGAGCTTCAGGTCGGCATCGCGCACGGTGCTGGCTGGGGAGTGGCCAAGGACTACGTGGAAGCGAAACGGTGGTTCTTGCGAGCAGCAGCCAAGGGTTGCGAGCGCGCAAAGGGCTACCTCGAGCAGATGGACTGTAAGAAGGCGATTAGGCAGAGTCGTCCCGCAGCGGATCAAGGCGACGTGCAGGCGCAGTACACGCTCGGCAACTTTCTAAGCGATCACGGAAAAGAGCTCGAGGACCGCGGCGAACACGAAGAATCTATCGCGGCCTACGAGGAGTCCGTGCGCTATTTGACGCTTGCTGCTGCCCAAAACTACGGGGAGGCTCAGCACAACCTGGCTCTCGCCTACGCGGAAGGTCGCGGCGTCGAGCAGGATCTCGCAGCGACCGTGCGTCTCTGGTTAATGGCCGACGCCCAAGGCATAGAGCATTCGCGATACATGCTGGAACTTTATGACAGTCTCGATAAGATCAACAGCCTCGAAATGCGCCGTGAAGTGATAGACGAAATGGCCTCAGAAATCGCCGAGATGCCCGGGCGATGCGGCTTCGAGGTGCGTATCATGCGCGCCATGTTCCCCGAGCCGCCGCCGGACATCCAGTTACGCTTCGACATCGGCGCGAGAGTCGAGTGCCGCATGGAAGATGCCTTTTGCGTGGGCACGGTGGTCGATGTATGGTACCGCGAGCAGGGCATGACGCCGGGGTTCCTCGCGCCGTATCAGGTCGAGCTCGACGAACACGAGCCACACGGCCGCTTCATCATGGCTCCCGAGGACGACGACCACTACATTCGCAGCCGTGACCGTCCCGGGCGGCGCTAAGCCTACTAATCTTTTACGCACGGCAACCTCTTAGCGAGGCTTTAGCGGTCCAGGCTCGGTCGGACTCATGTCGATTGAGCATTTATAAATACAAACCAAATAAATTTTTGCGAGTGGCAAAAGTCAGCCACCCGCCCGCACGCCCCGCGCTTCAATCCATCCCGGACGACATGCTGAACCCCTTGTCATTCTTTGGCTCCATCTTCCGGAGCGCGCCATCCGATGAGCAAGCCGCTGAGTCGCCCCCCGAGCAGGAGCAGGAGACGGTTGGCGAGACCGAGCCCGCCGAGCTCGCCGCGGCCGAGCCCGAGCCCGAGCCCGACGCGGGGCCCGAGCCCGACGCGGGGCCCGAGCCCGACGCGGGGCCCGAGCCCGCGGCCGAGCCCGAGACCGCGCCCGCGGAGCTCGTGCCGGAGCCCGCGTCCACCGAGCCTGAGCCCGCGGCGCGGCCCGCGGTCGCGATGAATCCAGAGATACTCGCGAAGAAGCTCGAGTACGAGGCGAAGAAGGCGCGCGTCAAGGAGCTCCAGGCGCGCATGACCTGCACCATCTGCGGTGAGAAGGCCAAGCTTAATTGTCCTTGTGGGACGACGCAGTGCGCGCCCGGCGCCAGGACGCGCGCAAACGGGTCGGGCGCGGCTCGACGCGTCCCGTCACAGGTACTGCTCGACGGACTGTCAACGCATCGACTGGCGCGAGCGAGGCCACCGGAAGGCGTGCAAGAAGATCCGGAAGGAGCGCGCGACGGAGGCGGCGCGGCCCGAGGCGCCGACGCCCCCGCCGTCGCCCCCGGTCTACGGCCCCGCGCCGCGGTCGCACGCCGACGAGGTCCGCGCGCGCATCGCGGCGGAACACGAGGCCGCTCGCGCGCGGCGCGAGGCGGAGCCGGAGCCGGCGCCGGAGTCGGCGCGGTGGGGCTCGCGGTGCCCGTGTTGCCTCGAGGATTGGGACTTGAACGTGAGTCCCGTGTTGCGCATCTGCTGCTGTCGATTGACCTGCGCCGCGTGCAACCTCAAGGTCGGCAACAAGCCATGTCCTCTATGTCGCGCGCCGTCCTTGCCGAAGGAGGGGGTCATATCCGGATTACGTCGCCACATCGACAACGACGTGCCGGAAGCGATGCTCGCTCTGGGCGATTACTACAAGAATGGCCACAGCTTCTACTCCATCGTGAAATCTTCGAAAAAAGCAGCGAAACTTTACGAGCGCGCCGCTGATCTGGGCAACGTGAGAGCGATGACGGAGCTCGGGACGTTCTACGTCAACGGTGACGGCGTCAAGCTGGACAAGCGGAAGGGGATGGCCCTCACACGTACTGCCGCGGACCGCGGTTTTGCAATGGCACAACACAATCTCGCAGTCCAGTTGGCAAAGGATTCGGGGGTGTTTGGCGCGGAGAGTCACAACAAAGTGGTTTCGATGGAAATCATTCGATTGTACAGACTCGCGGCCGAGCAGGGATACACCGGGTCCGAGAACAACCTCGGCAACTGGTACATGCGCGGCGGATTGGGTGTCGATCAGGACATCGACGAAGCCGTGTTCTGGTACAGACGGGCGGCTAGAAAAGGACACAAGAACGCGTCGTCCGTGCTTACGCAGCTTGGTATTGATCACATCAAGGGCCAGGCTCCCAGCAACCCAAGAAACGTGATGCGAGAGTCGACTCTCACATCAAGGGCCAGGCTCCCAGCAACCCGTCCACGCTGATGCGAGAGTCTCGAGACAGGTGGCGCGTGGTCTAAGACTAAAAGTTACGCCCCGGGGCAAACCTCCTCCGAGTCCCCCGCGAGCAACGGCCGGCAGTCCGCGACCCAGGACGCGTCCCGCGCGAAGGACCAGTCGGAGTCCCAGAAGCCCGCGGCGACGTAGCCCGCGGCGCCGCCGGTCTCCGCGGCCGCGGCGTCGAGGACGACGACGTCGGGGAGCGCGTTGGAGAAGGGCTGGCGCGCCATGGGCGGGATCGTCGGCGTCGCGAGGAGCGCGACGAGCGCCGCGAGCGCGCCGTCGTCCGCGCCCCAGAGCAGCAGCGCGAGGCGGCCGTCCAACGGGAGCAGCGCCGCGACGGCGACGCCCGGCCCGCGGAAGGCGCAGCCGCCGAGGTCGACGGCGCCGTCGCGGATCTCGAGCGCCGCGGCCGTGCGGTTCAGCGCGTCGCGCGCGGCGGCCGAGTCGCCGAGGAGCACGACGTTGCCGGGTCCCGAGGCGTCGTCGAGCGCGACGGGCGCGCGCGCGTGGCCCGTCTGCGCGAACTGGTTCGCGAGATAAACAGCCAGCGCCAGGTGCTTCTCCTCCGCGACGATCTCGAATGCCGTCTCGACGACCTGGCGCAAGGGCCCCGACGTGCCGGGCCCGCGGCCGGCCGACGCGCCGCAGGCGCGCCAATCGCCGCCGTCGAAACACGCCTCGCCCGCGGGCAGGTCCGCGCCGTCGACGCGCGCCGCCTCGGCCAACCGGAGCCGCCGCACGTTGCGCGTCGCGAGGCGGCCGCCGGCCGTCACCGCGACCGTCGACGTGCGGAACGGCGCGACCTGCTGGAGCACGCGGAAGCCGCAGGCCCCGAGGACCGCGTCGACGTTCGGGCAGACGTGGACGTAGCCCGCGGGGCACGGTCGCCGATCGCGCGCGAACGCGTCCGCGAAGAACGCGCGCTGCGCCTCGTCGTTGACCGCGCCGCCGTCGTTGGGGTAGGCCGTGTCCCACCACCAGTGCGCCTTGCCCGGGAGTTCGACGTAGGACACGGCCTCCGGGCACGCGCTCGCAATTAAGCGATGCAGGCGCCGCATGTAGAAGGGCGGCACGGCCTGGTCCTGGTCGCCCGCGCGGAGCAGCGCGGGCGCGCGGCACAGGTTCGTCGCGAGCGTGTCGACCTCGCTCCCGGCGAGCGTCGCGTCGAGGACGGCGCGGAGCGCGGGCTCGACCGCGTGGGCCGCCGCGTCGTGGACGTAGCGGGCGTTCGAGTCGCCGTAGGTCTCCTTCCGGAGCCAGCCCGCCGTCGCCGAGAGCCCCCGCGCGTCGCCGAGCACCGCGGCGAGGAGCGCGGCGCCGTGGCCGCCCATGGAGTGGCCCGTGACGACGACGTCTAGATCGCGGCGCCGGCCGAAGTCGCGGTCCGCGAGCGCGTCGAGCGCCGCGAGCGCGTGCCCGAGGCCGACGCCCTCCCAGTTGTGCGCGCCGTGGCGCGACGGCGCGAGCAGCGTCGCGCAGGCCTCCGCGGGCGCGCCGAAGGCGTAGGGCTCCGCGTCCGCCGCGCCCCGCGGCTTCATCTTGAACGCGTCGGCGCTGTCGCGCGCGTCGATGGACGTGCCGTGGAGCCTACGCATCGACGTCGAAGACACAAAGCAGGAACGGACGCCGCGACGCGCATGAGCAGCACGCGCTTCGCGTTCGCGCAGGGGGGCAGGACGACGCCCGCGCTCTGCACGGACCCGTCGCGGTCGAGGAAGGTCATGAGCGCCGACGCGTTGCGCGCGCGGCACTCGATGGCCAGGGCCGCGTCCCCGACGGCCACGCCCGCCGCCGTCACCGCGAGGCGCGGCGCCGCGCGCTCGCCGGCCGCGCACGCGTCCTTCGAGGAGACCTTGACGCGCACGAAGGCGAGCTGGCCCGGCGCGACGGCGTCGTCGCCGACGATCGACGCGTCGACGCGGGCGCTCGACGACGCGACGGCGAAGTCCCGGAGCCAGCGGCGCCCGCCGTTCCAGACCTCGAGCGCCACGTAGCCGGAGAGCGCCTCGCCCTCGACCCAGTCCGGCGCGGCCGCCGCGCGCAGCTGCGTCGCGCTCGCCGCGTCGACGACGCAGCGGACGGCGCCCCGGTGCTTCGCGCGCACGCGCATGCGGACGGCGTGGACGCCCGCGGCGAGGTCGTAGGCCGCCGCGAGCGCCGGAATCGCGCGCCCGTAGACGTCGCCCGCCGCTACCGTGAAATCGTCGACGGTGAACGCCGCGACGCCCTCGCAGCGCACGGAGGCGCGCGCGGCGTCGCGGAGCCTGAAGGACCCGACGGCGAGGGCCTGCCACTCGAGGACCTCGTGGCCGCCGACGCCCCGCACGAGCGCGTTCCAGTCGACGACGTCGTCGAAGGCGATCGTCGCGCTGCCGTCGCCGCCGGCGCGCGCGACGGCCCAGGCCGTCACGAGGCCGCCCGTCGCGTGCTCCGACGGCAGCGGCGCGGCGAGCTTCGGCGCATGCGCCGCGAGCGCCGCGGCGTCGCGCAGCCCGCCCTCGACCTCGTCCTTGCCAGTGGCGAAGGGGCCGAGCACGTAGTAGGCGTCGATGGCCGCGGTGCCGTCGACGGCCACGGGCCGGAGCTTCGCACCGGCGGCCGCGGTTGCAAAAGCGAGGCAGGCGAGGGCGCGCATGGTCTCACCGAGGGCTCTCCATAAGGCAGGCGAGGGCGCGCGTGATCTCACCGAGAGCACTCCCCTGAAAGGTTATCTGCCCACACCCAGGGTAAAGTTGCGGCACGAATCCTGCCGCGAGAGGCTGCCCCGATCGATCAGCGCGGTTGTGCGCCGCGCAGCATGAGCTTCGTGGACCTCGGCGGCGATGGCGCCCACGAGGTGGAGGTGCCGCTGGAGCCCGTGCTCGACGCGACGCACTACAAGACGACGACGCTCGCCGATCTGGACGACTTCGACCCGGCGCTCCTCTTCGCGTCGCTGCCGCAGCCCTACCGGACGATCAGCAAGGTGCTCGAGGGCATCTGGGAGGAGTCCTGGGCGAAGATCGAGGAGCGGCACCCGGAGGTCGTCGTGTCCCTCGGCGGGCAGGCGCGCGCGCCGCCGCGGGACCTCGAGAATTTGGCGGTCGCGCGCGCGGTCGTCGCGCCCGGGGCGGAGACGACGTGCGTGCGCTGGCGCGGCGCCGGCGGCGACGCGGCGGTGCTCGTCGCGGGCACGGCGACGGGGAGCCTGCTGCTCTACGAGCCGACGGCGCCGCGGGAGGCCGAGGACGACGGCGGCGCGAGCGCGACGCTCGGCGTCTTCGACTCCGAGGAGGGCCTCGCGCTCTCCGTCGCGACGATGAGCGCCATCAGCGACCGCGAGCCGGAGCGGCCCTTCCGCGTCGTCGTCTCCGCCGGCGACCCCGTGCCGCGGCCCGCCGAGGGCGACGACGGCGCCGCGGCGCCGCCGGAGCCGGAGCCGCAGGGCGGCGGCAAGGTCGCCATCGTCGAGGTCTGGCCGAGCGACGCGCCGCCGGGCCCGCGCCTGAGCCTCTTGACGACCTTCGAGACGCCGAGCCGGCCGCTCGCGCTGACGCTCGCGCGCGACGGCCGCTGGCTCGCGCTCACGCTCAGCGACGGGTCCACCGCGCTGCACCGGCTGCCGTCGATGGCCGCGATGCCCGACGGCGACGTGGACCGGAAGATGGAGCGCATCTCCGAGGAGCAGGCCGTGGAGTGGCGCGCGGAGTACGACAAGGACCTCGCGGACGTGGGGCGGCCGACCTTCGCGCTGCCCGCGCCCGAGCGGCCGACGCGCGTCGCGCGGCTCCCCGCGGATCCGGGCGCGAAGGCGCCGTCGCGGCCGGCGACGCCCGCGCCCGCCGAGGGCGACGAGTTGGACGAGGAGCCGCCCGTGGAGGTGCCGACCTTCCACTTCGTGGGCTGCTACAGCGCCGCGGAGGGCTGCGCGACGGACGCGTCCGTCGTGGAAGTCCGCGCGTCGTCGAACGTCGTCCGCAAGCACGGCCTCGGCGCGCTCCCGCCGCCGCCGGCCGAGGGCGAGGGCGCGCCGCGGCCGCCCCAGCTCGCGTCCTGGGCCCTGCCGGCGGCGGCGACGGCGTCCGCGGTCGCCGTCGACGCGCGGCGCGGCGCGGACGAGCACGCGGTGCTCGCGCTCGGCCTCGCGACGGGCGCCGTGCTGCTCTGGGACCTGCACCTCGATTTGTGCCGCCGCGTGCTCAAGCGGCACCAGGCGCCCGTGACGTCCATCGCCGTGCACCGCCACAAGTACCTCGTCGCGGGCGCGGGCGACGGCCGGCTCCACGTCTACGACCTGGCGGTGCCCGGCGAGGCGCGCGCGGCGTCCGGGGCCTTCGTCGCGACGGAGCCGGCGCTCGTCGCCTGCCGCGCGGACCTCGCGGCGCCCGTGACCAAGGTGCTCTGCCTCGACGTCGCCGCGCTCGCCGTCGCCGCGGACGGCAAGGGGTCGCTCGCGTTGTACGACCTCGCGAACGACGGCGTGCTCGGCTGCCTGAGCCTCGGCGACGGCCAGGCGCCGCGGTCCGACGGCGACCACGCCGTGGCCGCCGGCGACGACTGCGTCGTCGCGACGTCGGCCGCCGACGGGCGGGTGCACGTCTTCGCGGCGCACCACCTCATCCTCCAGCTCTGCCCGGGCGTCAACGCGGCGGCCGGCGGCGAGAGCGACCCCCTGACGATCCTGCGCCTCTTCAGCAACCCGGACGGCGGGCCGGGCGACTTCGCCGCCGAGCCGCCGCCGAGCCCGCCGCCGGGCACGGCCAAGTCGACCGCGAAGCCCCACGGCGCCGAGAGCCGGACGTCGCTCCAGTCCGCGGACACGCACAAGCGGTCCCACCGCGGCGGCAACGTCTTCGCCGAGCTCACGGCGACGAACGTCACGGCCCTCGACGGCGACTTCGCGCCCCAGCTTCCCGGGGGCGCCTTCATCGACACGTACGACCTCCTCCAAGACGCTGTCGCAGACAGCGTGAATGGGCGCGCGGCGCGCGAGTCCACGCTCGCGTCCATCCTCAAGTCCATGCAGAAGGCCGGCGGGAGCTCCTAAGATTGCAAGACTAAGAAGCACCCCCGCCCGACATCGAACGCCTCTCCTTCAAGGACCTGTTGTTGAACAATCATCCAAAACTCGTCGTTATCGGGCATGGCTGCCACCGCGCCACCGGGCGCGCTAACCGCAAAGGCTGTTCTATACAACGGAGTGTGGCGAAGCCCTGTCGGACCCAAACCGAGACCGCTGTGGGTGCTGCGCGAGCACGATGGCGCCGAGGAGTGCTTCAAGGTGATGTGGTCGGACCGGAGCCACATGATGGTCGACGAGGACGAGGTCAAGGACTGCGACCTGGTCGCTCGCGCCGCCGCTGCGCAGGACGTGGACGACGTCGACGGCCCGCAAAATTTGGAGCCTCTGAATCAGGGTCTGCGTCTCCTCGAGCACGCGTCCGCGCGCGTCGTCAAAGTGAAGGAGGAACGCGACGACGAGCGCGAAGAAAAGGAGGACGCCCAGGAGCTCACGGGGCACCTTGTGGTGTCAGAAAACGCTAAGATGTCCGAGATCGATGCGCTCAAAAAAGAAGTCGCACAGAAGGCCCGCAGGATCGCCGAGCTAGAGGCGACGTCGAAAGAGAAGGATCTTCGAATCGTCGAGCTCGAGAAGTCCAATCGAAAGAAGGACCAAGAAATCGCGTCGCTTTCGAGCGCGACGAGCAAGGGCTCGACGGCGGCGAACGAGCCGCGCTCCTCCAAGGTGAAGACCAAGGCGCCGGTGAAGACGAAGACGGTCGCCAAGGCCACGGCACCGGCAAAGACGAAGACGACGGGCAAGGCCGCGGAGACGAAGAAGTCGGCCAAGGGCTCGAAGAAGGAGAGTCCGAGCGGCATTCCCAAGCGGAGACCCAAGTCGAAGGCACAGCAGAAGACGGACGTCAAGGACTGTCCGTTTTCAGAGTTGCGCTGGAACGGAGAAAAATTCGACGGTGAACCGGAATGCAACCAGGTCCACGAAATCAGGAATTGGAAAAAGGCTTGGTCTACCCTACGTCCGCCATCCCGGGACGGGTGGCAGAATTATGGGAATGGGAATGGGAAGTTATACATCACGAGTCCAGAATTCATGGTGAAACGTGGTTTCAGGGCAGACGAATGGTTCGACGAGTCGGGCGACGAGGATGAAAAAGATGCAAACCCCGAGCTATTCATACATGGTCCGTGGGATTTTGAGATTAGCGGCAGTCTCAAGTACCAGGATGTCTCGCAAAAGCTCGAGCAACACGAGCGAAGCACAGCGAGCAAAGACGCGTGCTACATAACTGCGGCGGCGGAAATGCAAGGGCACGGTTTAATTGCACCCGTCAAATTAAAAGCGGTCTACGAGATTCAATATAGTGGTAAGAAGCGTGGTCCTACGAGCAATTGCAAAGCCCGGGTCACCGAGGCCTATATTGAAATCGGCAGCTGGAGTGAGTGCAGCACCTTCGTGGACATGTTTGCCGACAATCTTTAATACTACTAGCCAGCCGTCTTACGCGCCGCGATGGGCAGGTGGTAGCAGTCGAACTGCCAGTAGCGCCGCTTGACGCCGTCCCACGTGTCGCGCTGGATCTGGTCGACCTGGAGCGGCACGAACGTCGTCTCGAGCCCCAGCTTCGCGAGCTCCGTCTTGATGAACTCGCAGGCGACGCCGTGGAAGAAGGGGTTGAAGGGCGCGACGCCGTTGAAGTAGGAGAAGACGCCGCCCGGCGCCAACAGCCGCGGCAGCGCGTCGAAGAACGCGCGCATGTCCGCCTGGGCAGCAAAAGGGTGATTCAACGTCGCTTCAACGTGAGTGTTCCGCGCGCGCGCGTTCAAAAAAAAGCATCTACGCTTCGAGACTGTTCCGAGAGATGATCGCTCGTCCAAAAATCAGCCGAAACGAGTGGAAAACGGCCGAGATATGAGCCTTTGAAGTTGGGAATTTCGCTCTCTTTTGCTGCCCTGATGTCCGCGTACGTCTCCGCGTACGTGTCGAAGAAGATGCCGTCGAAGGGCCCGAAATTTGGGTCCTCCAGGGCCTGCTGCCAGGTCTCGGCCCGCACGTCGACGCGCGGCTTCTGGCGCCAGGCGCCCATGCGCTTCAAGACGTCCGGGTGCGGCTCGCAGATCGCGTGCTTCGAGAGGCGGTCCGCGCCGCGCTGGATGTAGGAGTCGACGATGCCCAGGCCGTGGCCCACGTTCAGCACGCGCAGGTCCGTTCGCTCCAATAAGTGCTGGCAGCCCGGGTCCGGGAAGCGGCCCAGGAGCACGTCCGCGTGCGCGGCCATGAGCGGCCGCTCCCACTCCATCATCACCGCGTCGCCCGACGCGTCGAGCAGCGTCTCGCCGGCGGCGTCGAAGGCCGCGGGCGTGGCGAGGTAGGTCGCGGCGTCGCGGTCCTCCGTCGTCGCGCCGGCGACGGCGCCGCCGTCCTCGAGGATGCCGAAGAGGAGCTGCGCGCGGACGCCCGCCGCGACGAGCGCGTCGACGCACGGCTGGCTCTGCGCGGCCATGGCGTACTCGCCGGCGCACTTGCCGTCGCGGTCCAGCGCGTTCCAGGGCGCGCCCCGCTCCAGCAGGAGCGCGACAATGTCGGCGTGGCCCGCGCCCGCCGCCGCCATGAGAGCGGACGTGCCAGTGGCCTCGTCCTGGGCGTGCGCCGGCGCGCCGGCGTCGAGGGCGGCGACGACGCCGGCGACGTCGCCGGCGGCGGACGCGGCGAGGAGGGATGCGCTGGGTGATGAGGTCGCTTCCATGCTTGCCATTGCGCACTCGCCAGTGGCAAGATGAAGTGCAAGCATGGGTGAACGCGTTTTGTCAAGGGGTCAAGGATGGTGGAGCAGATCGAGGGGCTGATCCGGACCTTGCGCGAGGGCGACGACGCAGCGAAGGCGGCGGCGGCGCTGAGGCTGGGCAGCCTCGCGTGCAACGACTACAGCGACCGGGTCCTGATCTCCCGGGCCGGTGGCATCCCGCCGCTCGTCGACCTCCTGCGCGACGGGAGCGCGGAGGCCAAAGAGCAGGCCGCGTGGGCGCTGCGCTGGCTTGCGTGTGACAACGACGCCAACCGGGTCCTGATCGCCGAGGCCGGCGGCATCCCGCCGCTCGTCGAGCTCCTGCGCGAAGGGAGCGCGGTCGCCAAAGAGCAGGCCGCGTGGGCGTTGGGCCACCTCGCGCACAACAACGCTGCCAACCAGGTCCTGATCGCCGAGGCCGGCGGCATCGCGGCGCTCGTCGAGCTCCTGCGCGGTGGGAGCGCCAACGCGAAATTCCCGGCCGCACAGGCGCTGCGCCTACTTGCCCACAACAACGACGCCAACGCGGTCGCGATCGCGGCGGCCGTCGGCCTCGAGGCGCTCGTCGAGCTCGCGCGGCGCGGCCGCGTGACTGTCAACAACCGGTCGATCGTGGAGAATGCAGCCCTCCCCGCCAAGCGCAAGGCCGCGCTGGTTGTCGCCGCGCTGCTCCGCGACTGCGTCCCGGGCGAGAAGCGGAGCCAGGTCCGGGACCTCATCCGCGCCGTCATCGGGCCCTGCCTCTAGGACGCACCCCCTTTTCTTTTACGCGGGCGCGTCGCCGCCGGCGCCCGGGGGCGCGCCCGTGAGGCGCCGCTCCTCGTGGGCGAACTTGCCGAGGACGGAGTTGGCGACGAGCGCGGAGGACTTGAGGGACGCGTCGGCGTTGGGCTCCGAGTAGACCGTCGTCTCCTCGACGTCGAGGGGGTAGTACGCGTCGAGCGAGAAGGGGTTGTCGTTCTCGAGCTTGTCGTGGAGCGCGCGCGCGCGCTGCGCGGCGGCGACGGGGTCCTCGAAGGACTCGTCGCTGTCCGAGTAGTTCGCGTCCTCGTCGGGGGGGTTGTTCGCCGCGTCGACGATGAGGTCGACGAGCGCGCGCGCGCCCGCGCGGTCCCGCGGGTACGCGCAGCCGCCCGGGAGCCGCGCGGTGCGGAAGGCGCGCTTCGTCTCGAGCTCCCAGCCCTGGAGGTCCTCGGCGGACTGGGACGCGTCGCCCTCGCCCGCGATGGCCGTGATGGGCAGCTTGAGGGGCCACTCGGCCTCGTGGACGTGCGTCTCGAGGAGCACGCAGTCCTCGCGGAGCCCCTTCGCGGCGACCTGGCGGAGCACGGGCACCTCGCGCAGGGGCGGCGGGAGCAGGCTCAGCATCTTGTTGAGCACGCGCTGCTGCGTGCGGTGCATGTTCGCCATCTCGCGCTTCACGCGCTCGAGCTCCGTCTCCAGGTCGAAGCCGCCGTCGAGGTCGCCGTCGACGTCCGGCGGCCCCGGGTCGAGGCCCCTCCGGAGCTGGCAGAAGTAGTAGAGCAGGGGCACGTCGTCGCGGCGGCTCAACGGCTCGCCCTCGTCCGCGGGCGCGTGGCCCGGGTAGCCCAGGAACGTCGCGGGCGCGCGGCAGCCCGACACGAAGAGGTGCGCGGGCAGCGTCGGCGACAGCGGGTTCGACCGGCGCACCTGGGCGAGGACGAGGTGGTAGGCGACGAGGCCGCCTAAACCGTGGCCCACGAGCATCCAGGGCCGGTCGTCGGCGTCCGCGTCGAAGAATCCGAGCGTCGCCAGCGCGTTCCGCGCGTCGACGCCGTAGACGCCGAGCTCGCTCGTCGGGTCCTCGTTCGTGCCCAGCGAGCTCGACCGCTTGCGGCCGCTGAAGATGTCGGACCCCTCCTCGGAGGACCGCGGGCTGAAGCCGAGGCTGTTGCTCCGCGACCGCGACGCGGGCCCGCCGTCGCCGGCCTCCGACGCGCTCGCCGCCTGGGCCGCGATGGTGTCGAGCAACGCCTGCGTCTGCGTGGGCTCGCTCGCGCGGTGGAGCCGCCCCGGCAGCGTCACGGACGTGACCTCGGCCATGCCCTCTAAAAACCCGGCCAAGACCGCCGCGCCGTCGTACGCGAGCCCGCAGTCCGCCACGACGACGACGACGCGCCAGGGCGCCCGGGGCTGGGGGCCCAGGGGCCGCGTCACCCAGCGCTCCGCGGCCCGCAGCGACTCCTCCTCGCGGTCCATCGTGAACCGCGTCGCCACGGAGCCGTCGTCGACGACGGAGTCGCCCTCGTCGGGCCGCGGCAGCGGCTCCAGGAGCCGCGCCTCGAGCTTGCGGTTAAGGAGCTTGCGCGACTTCTCCTCGTAGAACGTCGCGCGCCGCTGCAGATCCCGCGGCGAGTGCGCGTCCGGCGTCACGCCGGGGTTCAGAATCGGCGGCTTCACGAGGCGCCGCATGGCGACGCGGTTCGGCTTGTACGTCGACCGCGCGCGGTGCTCCGCGCGCGCGTGCTCCGCCCGGTCCCAGACCTACGGAAGTTTCTGACGGGTTGCTCCGGCGGCCGCGGCGCACCTCGATGCGGTTCTCGAGGGGCGTGTGGACGACCTTCTTCCAGGAGCGCTTGCCATCCTTGCCGGCCTTGGCCTCCTCGGACGCGACGGCGGACCCGACGTCAGGGACCGTGTCGCCGTCGAAGTCGAGCTGCCCCTTCTCGAAGCCGCCACGGCCCCTGCCCATCGTTGCCCAGCGCTGAGCGCCCTCAACAATCCGGCACCGTGGCGTAGGAAGCATTAGCCCTCTGCGCAGCCCGCCGATTCCGATGTCCGGGAACTTCTCATATGATCGTAAGCATGAACGCACACTAGCCCACTTCTCACTGGAGCTGCGGGCGCCTAGGAGATCACCTCTGGTGCGTCTCTATGCTGCGGCGCGGGATGGCAAAGTGCGAAGATTACGCGCTGCTCTCGATGACGGCGCGAATGTGAATTGCCAGGGCATAACGACGCCCCTCTATCAAGCCGCTCTGGAGGACCATAACGACTGCGTGAAAGCCCTGCTCGAAGCAGGGGCTCTGGTAAATCTACCGACCTCGACTGGTATTTTACCTCTTACAGTCGCATCTATGTATGCTCGCCGCGCGGTCGTCGACACGCTCATCGAAAACCGGGCCGATGTAAACCTGAGGGAGGCAAGTGGGGCGACAGCGTTGTCTCGCGCGGTAGATTCGGGGCCTGCTGTTGGGGGTCGTCGAACTGTGATCTTTTCGCTCCTTCGCGCCGGCGCGAGCGTCTTGCCTCAATCGCCGGCGAAGAGCGGCCTCATGAGTCCCCAACGCAACGAGTCCTCCTACGCATTGATCGACAAGGTGCGGAAGGCCGGCGACTACACGAACTTCGTGCGCAACCACCGCCGCGTGCTCAGCGGCATCGTCTCCAAGTGCGGCTGCTCGCGCACGGGCCGCGCCTTCCGAACCGACGCCGCGGGCCACGTCGTCGACTTCTGGTGCCCGCCGGGTGGTCACTAAGGCGATGTCTAGATAGCGCCCCCCCCCCCAGTCGCCGACCGATTTACGCAGCCTGCTAGTTGGGCCCCTTGGCCGCCTGCTCCTTGGCGACGTCGGCGACGTCCTTCTCGAGGCGGACGAGGTCGGCCGCGGCCTTGGCCTCCCGGGCGGCCTGCGCCGCCGCGAGGCGCCGGTTGATCTCCGCGCCGTACGTCGCGTCGTAGATGGCGCGGGACGCGGTGATCTTGTCGAAGAGGGCGTCGATGCCCGCGCCGGAGACGGCGGAGACGCCGACGCGCGCGAGGACGCGGTAGAACTCGTCGAGGACGAGGCTCATGGACCGGTGGAGCGACGTCACGTAGGAACCGCCCGCGGGGTCGTCGCGCGCGGCCGCGTCGAGCGCCTCGTGGAACTTCTCGAAGTCGTCCATCCACTCGAAGCAGGCCTCGCAGGGCTGGACGTCGACCTTGTTGAAGGCCGCCGTCAGGGGCAGGCGCAGCTTGTGGAGGATGGAGCACGCGTAGACCATGTTCGACATGAACGTCGACGGGCCCATCGTCCGCGGCGTGTCGACGACGTAGACGATGTTCGTCGCGAAGGTCGACGCCAGCGACTCGGCGATGAGCTGGCCCGACGCGGACCAGGTGAAGGCCTCGATCTGGCCCGGCGTGTCGACGATGACGTGGTCGAAGTCCGCCGCGCGCTTCTCGAGGATCTTCATGACCTCGGCGAATTGCGTCGCGAACAAGTTCAGCGACGTGACGATGGCGCCGTTGGGGCCGAGCTTGTACTCGCGCATGACGCCCTTGTAGTCCACGGTGTCGCGGATGTCGATCTGCGGCTCGATGGGCACCTCGAGCACCGCCGGGTCCAGGTTCACGAAGTAGCAGCGGCGGCCGCTGCTCGCGCAGTCGTAGTGGAGCCGGTGGAAGAGCGTCGTCTTCCCCGAGCCGGCCATGCCGATGAGCAGCGTCACGATGGGGCCCGTCGACGGCGCGCCGTCGTCGTCGGGCGCCACGGTCTCGTCCTCGCCGGCGTCCCGGCTCGCGGCCTCGACCTCGCGCCGGAACGCCTCCTCGTCGGCCGCGACCTCGGCGCTGAAGTCGTAGTCGTCGTGGGCGCTCGGCGCGAACTCGGCCATGGTGTGTGTTGAGCCGCAGCGACGCCGGCGTAGATAGTGGCAGGCGGCGGAGGCTGGCGCGGCGTCGAGCCAGACGGAGAGCGAGCCCTCTTGCTTGGTCAACTGCATCACTGTTACATGAATGATAACGCCGAAGCTTATGGGGCGGCTTTCGGAGGGTGCGCGGGGGTGGTTTCGCGCAGCGGCCGGTGGTGGGGCTCGCCGCGTCGGCTCCGGGGGGCGCTCGGGGAGGAGCACCCCGCTGCGCGCGTCGATTGGGCGGCGGGGCGCCGAGCGCGAGAGCTTGCAGTGCTTGGCCGTCGGCGCGACGTCGCCCACGGGCCCGGGGGGCTGCCGCGCGCGCTCGCTTCGTTCGGATGCCTTCGGCGTGAGTCTTGGGGGGAGCTGGTGGGGTCGGCGCCCTCGATGGCTTCGGTGTGCGGGCTTCGATGTGCCCGTGTCCATTCGTTTCTCTGCATTCTGCAGCGTCTCTTCGTAGCGTGGCGCTGTGTGCGGCTCCGTCGACGTCGGCGTCTTCGCTCTCTTCGTCGGCGTCTTTGCTCTCTTCGGTCCCGCTGACCACGGGTGTCCTCTTCGGCGGTGCCCTCGGCTAGCCACTTGTGGTCCTGAGGTTGAATCGGCCTAGTCGAGCCGGACGTCCTGCCCGTCGGGTGCGGGTGCCTTCGTTCTCAACCTCCCCCGGTCCACGGAGAGTCCGTTGAGTGTCGTCTGAATGAGGCGACTCAGGATGCTACTGCCTTGCGCCAGTCCCGGCGTGCTCTCGGCGTGGCGGTGGTACCAGGCGTGGCGCGAGTGTACCGCCGCCTCCGTCCCGAGTGCGCGCACGATCTTCAGGGTGGAGGAGGGGGCCGGTGTGGTT